TCACTCAGTTTTCGTCATGTCCACTGTCGTCTTCTCATCACTCAGTTTTCGTCATGTCCACTGTCATCATTCTTAAAATTTAATCTTTTTATTTTATTTATTTAAGACACCAGAATTTAAAGGCATTTAACAAAACAAAAAAAAAGTGAATGTCCTCTTTGGGTTATGACCAGGTCGTCACTATGCATGTCAGGAAACAAAAGATTTACAAGTAAATAATTTTGAGAAATTTGTCGACTATTAATAATATTAGTAAGTGGCGTAGCTAGGGTTGGTGTCACCCTGTGCGGTAAACTCATGGTGTCCACCCCCCCCCCCAATTTTTTTTCTTTCTATTATCGATTTTTTCTTGTTAAAATAAGTCCACAGTATAGCATCAACCTTGAACTTTTAATAAAGCACGCATTTGGATTGGTTAAATTTGTGAAAAATATATGTGTGATCCGTTATTCTTTTATGAATCTCGATTTTTGCGAGCAATGTGTGCCCTGTAAATATGCAATTTTTCAATCGGGTGTCACCCCTAAAATGGTGTCACCCGGTGCGGTCCGCACCCCCCGCACCTGCCTCGCTACGCCACTGAGTAATAGTCGTCATTATTATCTACTTTTTTTTAATCCATACGTAACTTTTTAAAAATATAATAAAAACTATTCAGTACTTGTTTTGTTTCCCATATTAATTTTAATGCCCGGATAATTAAAAAGACAGAAGGGGGGGGGGGGTGGATTTTATCCCCTCCCCAACTCAGACTGGAACCAAATCCCCCCACCACACTTTTTAATGTGTAGATGCCCCTTCCCTTGACAGAGGTGGTTTCATGAATAATTCGCCACTTGTCTAAATTCTCACCATTCTTTCCATTCGTCAACATCTCTCATTCTCCCTGATTTAAAGTGTTAAAATGTCTCTATTTTTATCCACTCAACGCTGTACCATGTCAAGGTATTCAATTATTTATAATGAAGCAAAAGTCAACACCTGGTATATTCAGGGCGGGGACTGAAAGACATAATAATTCGTTTGTTCCCCAATCTCTGCGAATTTACCAGCGTGCTCCCCCTGAAGTCCCAAAGTGAGAACTAATAAGCCCCTAATATGGCTAAGAGAATTCAATGAATGCCTCCCCCCCCCCCTAGATTTAATATAGATGTATTGTGTTCAAATTGTTTTATTTATGTGCTGAAATGTACAATGCAATAAAAAAATATGTCCACTTGTTTGGATCAATAAAAGTCTCTTAGCTTATCCTCTTATCTAATATAGATTGCCATTAGACTCTATCAAAAAGAATAAATTGTTCCTTTTGTTTTTACTTAAATAGGTTAAAAGACGGTGCAAATTTGAACTATTTCTTATAATAGGAAATATTTGAAATGGTCGACTTATGTGGAACCTGTAACTCTAGAAAGTATTTGACCTGCCACCATTACAGATCATGTACTACCTTGCCTACTCTTGTATCCGATCCTGTTGTTATGTCTAGGTATACAGCTTAGCTTTCGTTGGATGGTGCAAGCATCTCATGTATTTCACTGTCACTCAGTTGAAATGATGAACGTCGACACCGAACAGTTTTATTTAGTTTCAACAAGATTGGGCCCAAGATTGTTCTCCCTAGGGACCTGAAGCTGCAGGAAGGAAGTGGAGTATATTAGGATAAGTCCATGACTGGTGTAGAGAAGTGCATAAACCTGCACAACTGGTTGTGAAACTGGCGTGCAGTTTAAAAAATACTCTTCCAAATATACTCTAGTAATTGCAGACGAACAGAGCCATGCGAGTGATTTTTGGGCCCCGAACAGATGTAAATTGTGGGCCATAAGAAACTTTAAAATAATTGTTTAAACGTAGTTGTATCAATTTTTAAAAAAAATCATCCCTTGGGGGCCCCATGCGGGCAGGGTCTTGGGGGGGGGGGGCCCATGCGGGCAGGGTCTTGGGGGGGCCCATGCGGGCAGGGTCTTGGGGACCCCATGCGGGCAGGGTCTTGGGGGCCCCATGCAGGCAGGGTCTTGGGGGCCCCCATGCGGGCAGGGTCCCGAGTGATTTACTCGTTGACCTCGGTCTCTGCATGTCCCTGATTGTGTCCTTGGGTCAAACATGCAGACATCTGTGGGGGGGGGGGGAGTGTAGTTATAAACACACAATTTAATCTATTTAGTATTATATACTAATTCGGCATTTCAAAGGAAATACTTTAAAACCAAAATGAAAGCATACAAGTAAAGGATTGCTTTTCATATTGCCCAGTTAAGGAAAAGATCAGATATTTTTGTTGATCCAAAGAAATGGAAATTATTTGTTTTTTCATCTATCGTACATATTTTTTTCAGTCTTGAAAATTCTTGTTTGGGTATTTAGGTGTTCCTTAAAATTATTCTGTAGTAAGACTTAAGTCGAATAATTGTGCGGTAGGGATAACTGTTGAGTGTAAGTTGTAGTAATAAAGGGAGTCTTAGACTTTTGTTTAAACGGAGTTCTCGTTTCTGTTCTTCAAGGTCAGGGACACTCCTTTTGTCTGTTGACACTTTATCTTTGTGACACTCCTTTTGTCTGTTGACGATTTGTCTTTGTGACACCCTTTTTGTCTGTTGACTCTTTGTCTTTGTGACACTGCTTTTGTCTGTTAACACTTTGTCTTTGTGACACTCCTTTTGTCTGTTGACACTTGGTCCTTTTGACACTCCTTTTGTCTGTTGACACTTTGTCTTTGTGACACTCCTTTTGTCTGTTGATGATTTGTCTTTGTGACACTCCTTTTGTCTGTTGATGATTTGTCTTTGTGACACTCCTTTTGTCTGTTGACTCTTTGTCTTTGTGACACTCCTTTTGTCTGTTGACACTTTGTCTTTGTGACACTCCTTTTGTCTGTTGACACTTTGTCTTTGTGACACTCCTTTTGTCTGTTGACTCTTTGTCTTTGTGACACTCCTTTTGTCTGTTGACACTTTGTCTTTGTGACACTCCTTTTGTCTGTTGACACTTTGTCTTTGTGACACTCCTTTTGTCTGTTGACACTTTGTCTTTTTGACACTCCTTTTGTCTGTTGACACTTTGTCTTTGTGACACTCCTTTTGTCTGTTGATGATTTGTCTTTAGCGTCTTTAAAATTCTTTAATAGTTATCACTCTACGAGCAAGTACGTCATTTGAGTAGGACAGGGTGGGGCCTTTGCCCCCCCCCCCCCACCCCCTGAATTTGCAGGTTTTATTTAAATTGCTATGCAATGTGACGCATACAGTAATAAACCCCTTGAAAAAAACTCTGAAATAAGTCCCTGTCTATAAGTTTGACTGCTTAAGTAAAGAGAAGCAACTTCAGGTACTACAAAAAGTTTAAATTTTTATATTTTTATGTCCCTTTAACACATTATTCAAAGATTATTTCTAACATTTTTATCATCGGACTTGAAACAGGTTAATATCTTTAAATACACCTGGTCGAAGGGGGCTTGTTGTTTTGACTTGCTCTGTTGTTGGCCGAAGGGGGCTTGTTGTTTTGACTTGCTCTGTTGTTGGCCGAAGGGGGCTTGTTGTTTTGACTTGCTCTGTTGTTGGCCGAAGGGGGCTGGTTGTTTTGACTTGCTCTGTTGTTGGTCGAAGGGGGCTGGTTGTTTTGACTTGCTCTGTTGTTGGTCGAAGGGGGCTGGTTGTTTTGACTTGCTCTGTTGTTGGCCGAAGGGGGCTTGTTGTTTTGACTTGCTCTGTTGTTGGCCGAAGGGGGCTGGTTGTTTTGACTTGCTCTGTTGTTGGTCGAAGGGGGCTGGTTGTTTTGACTTGCTCTGTTGTTGG